TGTTTGCGAAATGATAAACTTGTGAATTGCCATGTTTGAAAATTCTGCAAAGATCTATTTTTAAACTTACGCGTGATTTGATCTGTCAATCAAATTGTACTTTTTAATGGTTTCCTCTCTGATTTTGTTGAGATCACTTCGTGTGTATATACAGAAACAATTATTCTCCACAAAGTGCACTCGCCCTACGGGCTCGTGCACTTTTGTTAGTCTTTGAACAATTTACTCGTGCTTATTTATTCCAAATTGCACTCGAAATCATGTGATTACCTAGACTTAAGATACACAGTTTCCTTGCCGTGGGTAAGGGGTAAATTACCTTTATACCCAGCGATAGATACAGTGAACTGCCTTTTACACTGGAGAAACGGGTAGGCTACCCGGTAGAAGGTTCATAATAATATCACTCCTGGGAAATTGTAGTCACATTCAGGCAAACGTCTTCATCCACCCATACCCTTAGAGAGAAACGGTGTATCTTAAGGTCGCTATCATCCGGTAAGGATATAATCATGAGTTCATTGCTTCATATAATGGTAGCATCAGAGATACCAACCCTTGGCTTCTCTAAAATCCGAAGTTCAATAAAGTTATGTACAATGTATGTATGTAAAGGATGACAACAAAGTGAATCTCTTTTCAGGACGGTTCAGGAAAATACAAAGAAATCAATTAAAATATGCTGTAAATCAAAGATGAGCAAAATTTACGAATTATACTAATGCATTTCTTAAGAAACTTAATACAGTTTTTAATGCAGTCAGCTGTCAGCTTTGGAAAACAATACTACAAAGCATGTAAAATAGGCCATTTCTGTGTAACTTTCAGGATTGAAAATTGAGAGAAAAAAGTGCAATGGGCCGTGAAAGCAATAAATTGATCGAGTCATACAGTACGCAACCGACTATAACAGTTTGAGTCTTCGATTGTCAGGCGATTTATAACAGTTTACAACTAGTTATTACACCTGGGCCTCATTAGTTCTTCTACCTCTTCTTTCTATGACTTCCTCAGCTTCCACCATCCACAGCAGCAAAGCCAGCTTTTGTCGGTTTTGCCAACAGTCCACTAAAGTAAATCCTTCAACTTCTCCAGGGCCCAATTGTTAGAAGGGCAATTAGCACTTGACCCAGGTTTAAGTTTTAGCCAGGCTTCTTTTTCTTTTGTTCAAAAGCATTTTTCCGAATAATTTTGTGTTATTTTGAAGAGCATGCAATCCTCAACTTGTTGACAAAAAGAACTAAACTAAATTCACTTTCTTTCCCAACATGTTAGAGATGTAAAAATTAATCAGATGATTATAAAATAGAAAACACCTTTCTGGTTTGCTGGTATATCGGTCGATAACGGCTTGTAGCTGAGAGATTGTCCACAAAATAAAGATTTGCCCAATAAGCGAAGCTTCGAAGGCAAATGTGAAATTTTGTTAACAATTCACAAATGGCATCAAATCGGTAGAAAGTAGAAGCCAAAAAAATTTTCTTATTATTTTGGCCAAATTTCAGGCATAAACATAAAAAACGTAACTATTGAAATTTTTTCAATTTTAACAGTTTTTTCTACAAAATCTCCACCTTCGTGCAAAACATTTAGTCTGTTTCGAACTCTGCAGTTTGGCATCTGCCTCTTTGTGCAAGTTTGATTAAACTTCTTGTACAGAATAGATGAACTTATCCTTATCATATGTGACCCTCCACAGGAATTTGATGCTAAAGGTGAAAGCACGCGCACGACACGCTTGCACGACACGCTTAGCGTGCCGTAGATCACGGATATGCGCATATTAAATTGAAAAAAACAAAGACGGACACACTTGCCTTTGTTTTGGCAAATTTAACACGCTAGACCTTTTGTTTTTTTGTAGCGTGCCATATGTCACGGTAAGTGTGCGAATTATAGCACGGTTAGCGTGCAATTTGGGAAGACACGCTGAACACGCTTGATTACTAAAACCGCTAAGATGACAAAAATGGCTTGGGTTTTCAGCGGATTTAATCAGCATTGATAACTGGTCGAAGTGAATCAAATATACCAATTGAGACTGTTTTGGAATTTGATAGTAACCGTAGCCATTTGAAAATCACGACTTAATGGTCGTCTAGCCTGGACTTAACGCGAGATCAGTGTAAACCAATTCCTCCGGCTGTCGGCTGTTGACCGGAATCGCAAAGAGGCCTGCTATCGCATGCGAGGCACTGAAGTTATGTCGCCTGAAAATTATAGTTATGCCACTGGAATATTTATTAGCAGTAATGCACAGAGAAATGAAGTTGAATAAATTAGTTTAATATATTTCTTTAAGCCATGCTGAGACAAACGAAGGTAATTAAATCGGAGAAACAAAAACTGCCTAGAATTTTCTATAGGTTGAGGAAGGGTAAACATTTCTAGATGACCGTTCCATGCATGTACAATTTTCGAAGGTTATCTAATAAATTCCTTACGATTTTCTGAAGTTTAATTTTTTCCATTTCATTCCCCAGTTAAGCTATTTTTCGTAGAGAATTAAGGAATCCTAAAATTTTCGGAACCGAAAATACGATAAAATTCTCACTTTCCTAAAACTTTCAATTGGAAGCTAAATTTTTCGGGAAAATAATCCTGAAGCCCTTGTAATTTCGAAAAGACTGAAGTTGTCCTAGGATGCTAGGATGCATTTAGGAGGAAATCACCGTCAGGTGCCCCTGACGAACGAAGCGCTGACGAACGAAGCTCTATCAATCAAAATTTATGTAAAGATATCTCGTTACGCTATGCTAAGACGAATCAAGCGCTGTAAACGTGTACTATATCTCGTTCTTCACAGGACGAAAAAAACAAGAATCTGTAAACTAAAAACACTGTAGAATGAGGGAGGATTGCGGGCGACTTTTCTTTGAATTTTGGGCGACAAAACTCATATTATCAGGTTTTGGACGACATAACTTCAAACGACATCACTTTCGAGTAGCTTGACCGTCACCCCTTTAGATCGAGCTCGATGAATTAATTCAATGACCGAACTTTATGGAACAAATGATTGCCTTCAAGAATTTCACGCGGATTACTTTTCATTTAGTTCTTTTTCTCTTTTCTCACTGTGTGACTGACAGAGATTTAATTCTGGGATCGAGTTTTAGTACTCTAAACACGCCGTATTATCGTGGCAAAAACAAAGAATCAAACAAAAAAGCACCATACAATTTCGGAATTCTGTTAAAAAATACATTTTTTGCTTACTATTCAAAAAGCGGTGAAACAGTCATTAATTAACTGATGTTTCGCTTTTTGTGTTATTGTCGGCCGGATCAATTAAGCAACGTTGGAAACGTTTCGGAATTTTGGTACATCTAGAAAAGCAGGCTGGTTTTTATTTGATCACTACGATCCTTGCAATCGCTAAAAAATAAATAGAATTTAGTGATCCTGGCACTTGATGATTTCTATTATATTTGATCGCGATTGCTGCGATCGGCAAGAAAGTGTCTTAAGTCCGAAAGATCACTGTTTCTGAGAAAATTGCAAATGTGTTTTAAATTAAGGAAAGTTAAGATAACCTTTGCACAGCTTCGTCAGTAAACATTTCTAGAAAGAACTTTGATTTTGCAATGCTAATATAGTTCTACCCATAAATCCAGTAGGTCACACCGTTCACTGTTAATACTTTTCAAGCGACAACGTTTTTTCAATCAGATACTATCGCTGCGATCGCTGAGGTGTAACTTTTTCTTTCTCGATAGTTACCAAAAAAGGGTGCCGTTCATAATCATTTATGGTTCCTTTTTGTAGAGGAAATTTATTTAGCTTATAGATAACACGCCTTGCGTGCTTTTGCGCACACTGAAAGCGTGTTGTGCTCTTTCGCACGGAGCTTTTGTTTGAAAACTTTAACACGCTCTTTTGTTCGACTTACATTGCTCACGCTTAATTGTCTCAGGCGTGTCCTCTGAAACAAAAGAAATTGCTAATGAGGCAAGATTGCAAGCGTGCTAAAGCGTGTTAAAATAAATTCTTTTGTTTTAAAGTGAAAGCGTGTCGTGCGCGTGCTTTCACCTTTAGCATATAAGTCCTGTGGAGGGTCACATATGCTTATACTTTATCCTTCCTACTTATCGAATTATCGAATGTCACATTGTCCCCTTGCAATGTGACTGTTCTTCTTGCAGAGGAATATAATCATTACCTGAACATGATTTTCATAAATCTCTTGCTTCATGAACATTTGAATTTGATTGCAATTATGGGCTGTCCACAAGTACAGGAAAACAATGTGCCTATAAGCGTCTTTTCGTTTTCTTAACCCTCTATAACTTCACTTGGACACTTTCCCTTAATGCTCATTTTTCATAGGACAACAAGAAAAATGTAATGAGTAAATCTTTTGATTAATTTTGGAGCCTTGTACGTTTGCTTAACTTCGCTAAAGCCTGTACACTGGCTAAGGTAACATAATATGTAAAGATCTCTATAGGAGAAGAGTTAGAAAGAGAGAATCCTCTGTTGGAAAATAGCCAGCTTTCCCCCGCAATTAACTTGATGGAAACACAGTAACCTATCCCTGACGATATTGTCAGAAACGATCAAGAAGACCTCCAGTTACTTGTAAGAGCGAGGGCAGTTGGTGTGCAGTATGAGTTTGCACAGCATGGTGCATCAGAAACTGAAGAGGACAGGAGGAGGAGGAGGCTGCGAAATCAAAGGAGAGTATCTCAAGGGGAAGGAATGCGGCGTGAAGTTGTCGGAGATTTACCACCACCTCCTCTAGCAGGATCAAGTCAGGTTGAGGATAATGCCTATAGCGCGATTCGATTTGCGAAGTCTGGAAGGAACGACGTCTGGAATGCAAGGGCACAAGAAACGTGTACTCGCTACAGACGAGATAAGAAAATACCAAGGGTTTGGTCAGAAGAGAACAACATGATCCCAATGTCTGTCCCGGAGATTCTGTCTGGAACGTCAGATGCTGAGCAGATGCTGATAGCAAGATTAGCACCTACTGTCCAAGTGCATATGTTAAAGCATGGAGGGATTGCTTCAAAGCATTCCCTCAGGCTGTTCAAGAACCAGCAACTATTCTTCCACGCCTGCCAGCAGAGGTAGAAATTATACGGGTAAGAAGGCAAGGAAAGGATGATACTCATAAGGACTTTAGGGTTAGATGACCCTGTGTTGAAGGAGCCCTTTGCTGGTTGAAGGACAATAACCCTGCTTATGATGACATTGTGATTGATGGCTCTCGCTTACAGAATTTACCAGAACATGAGAGGACACAGAGGCTTTTTACTGCAAGTACCATCCCACGCAGCGATGTTTTCTTCGCGGGCACCTAATCCGACTTAATCCCATTTAAGAGTGGTTGTCAGAGAAAACCGGGCAAAATGTTAAAAATGTCAACGGAAGGGGGTCAACAGAATAAGTTCATTCTAACATCATAGATAGGTCTGGTGGAGTAATGGACAAATATACCAAACATAGGTTCTTCACTGCTCTTGTATTAGAGATACGAGCATCACTTTTTTCGACCCCCTCGGACGCCATTTTTATAGGCAAATTTTCACCATTTTCTGAAACTCACAGAAGCCTCCAAATTTAACGAGCGAAGTTTATTTTATGTATGCGATACAACACATCACAGAACTACTTTCTAAAACCATAAGATTTGTTAAGTATCCACGGACAAGACTAAAATTTTCTTATTTTATCTGACCTAAACTCAATGTCTGCAAACGAGCAAAAAATCGGGCATTTTTGAATTGATCTACAGCGCACAACTAAAATGACAGAACAACTCGGACAGCCAAATTGCAGTCTACTATCATCCATGTAACCAAAACACTAATAATCATTTTGGGCCATTGAAACAGGAAGAAATTAGAAAACTCACATTTGTTATAGGTTTCAAGCTTTTTCTTGTAAACAGGCCGATCCCTTCGTGTTTGTTTTTAGTCCTCTTCGTGAATTTTCCTTCATATTTCGCTGTAAAGTATGTTCAGCAGCTGGAGATCATATCAAAAAGCTCGAAATACTGCCTAGGTTACATTTTCAAAGGGCAAAAAGTCGGCAAAAAGTGCTGAACGATAGGATGAAACTAGAAAATAACAAAGCGACGTCATCTTGAAAATTCAGCACTCAGGAGGGACTGGCACTAGTAACTGCCTTGTACACAAGTGATGAATTACCAAACAGATAAAAAGCAAAAACAAACAAACCGGCTTATCAGCGACCTATTACAGTCCTATTTCGTCTTCAATTACTACTTTTAGTTAAATTGTTGTCGCTTTTTTTTTTCGGCGGAGTTATGGGGTGTGGTGAACAGGTGACCAATTGGCATTACTTTATTCAGTCTTCATTTGCTCTTCATTCACTTCATTTTGAGTTATCCCATATAAGTCTTAGCGTTTCTTTGGACTCTTTTTTGTACCATTTATTTTTGCGTCAGTCTTCAATCACCTTCCATGTCCGAGGGTCCAATCATCTCCTGTTCATGATTTCATGATGCACAGTTTCATAGTCCGGAAGGTTTCGCCCGAAGGGTACCTCTTTCAAGAATCAGGTGTATCAAAGGGTAGCAAGGAAATCACAAGTTGAAGTATGTGAAAGGAGAGGAAAATCTTTCATTAAGTATTTTAAAGAGCCTATTATTAAAATGCTTCGAAGAAACACGCCTTATGGCATTATCATTTACATGTTAAGGTTACTCGAAAATGACCGGAAGACCTCCTTTCTTACCGATTTATTCTCACGAAGCAGATATAAAGGGTACAACTTTTTAATGGAAGATACACGAAAGGGGTACCTTTTGTCAAAAATAGTATATTATTTTAAGGGTAAGGGACTGGACCTCGGGGCGAAGCCTCTCCGAACAAAGCTTTATTAAGTAGCCTCCCACCCTTCCCCCCCACCCCCCTTCTCCCTAGAGCTTTCCACAAGTTGCTCGCCAACTTTTTGGCAACTTGTAGTGTTTCGAGCAACTTTTTTCGTTTCAAGCAACTTTTTGCGTAATTTCTGAGCAATTTCTCTTACTAGTTTTCTTCCAATTCTGAGATATCTGAGCAGTTTTTAGTGCTTAAATTGGCCTTGCTTCCATATTGCACAGTGTTTTAGTAGACAATTTATGAATTTCCTATGAAAAAGGAGCCAGATCCTCACCCCTTGGGGGCAGATGATGGGCACAAGATGCAGCCGGGCTGCTAGGTCAGAGGTTTTTTTTGAACAAAATTCGAAATGGCCGACGTCGATTCACACTTGACTGACACGAGTGTCTAAGGTGAAGAAGGTCATTCAACAATTTTAATGGCTCATACTAGAATTTATACAATTATTAATATTAATATTGATGATACATTTTTTTTTTAATTGTGGTTTACGGGCTTTTGATGGCGGACAGAGTTATCTAGCAACGCTAATTACGCCGCAAAATTGCACAAAATTACTTTTTTTATACTCTATCAGGAGCCATATATATATAAGTCGGGGTAGTAGACCGTAACTGGATACCTTTGCCCGGGATGGGGCTGACCTCATCGAAATATATATCATAGCCATTAAATGTACTATTTTTAGCACATTTTGTGCCATCTTGTGTGACTCGCGCGCGCATTTTTTGCAACAGCGCCGTGGAAAGGATGAACAAACGAAATGGCGTTGGAAATTACCTCCGTATCAGATGAATAAATTTCGTTTCTGTCATCAGTGCCTCCTCTGATTTTAAGGTAAGACCTTAACAATTACTCTAAATGTGAGGACTGTGAACATGGATTCTGCTTGTGTTAAACGCCGTAGTGAGAGTGTTTTTGACAAATCCAGTGACGAAGAGATGTAGGAGATGTCAAAACTCGAGTTAACACTCAGACCCCTTTTAAAAATTTTTGAACTGCCAAAAACTTGCATGGATCCGCCTTTTCTTTACATGCGACCCGCGGAACCGTAAAGTTTTTGAGCTGCAAACAGTATTGCAATCTATGGAGAATTTGCACGTTCCCTCTAAACGGGTTGCACAGGTAAAAAATTCGTCCGGACCCTTGGCGTTCAGCTTGTGTGGACCGTGCAAAGAGCATACTGAAAAAGAAGTGAGCAGGAAAAACAATGAGGGGAAGGGGTACGGAGTGAGAGCCGTAGGAACCCCTGTAATCGTACTTTTTAACAAAAGCTCCTTCCGGATCCTTCCGGTAAACCAGATCTGGTAAGGGGCCGACCATTTAACTCTTGAGGGTGGGGCTGGGTGATTTCTGGTCATCAAGAATTTTTTTCCCTAGCAATATGGTGGGCAGGATATTTTTTCCCTTTTTTTCCCATAAGCTCTCTATTACATTTGTGCTGCATGCAATTTTCTTCTTCCGACAAGCGCTTGCAGGAAATTTTTTTTCAAAATCACCCACTCCCCCACCCCCCTCAAGAGTTAAATGGTCGGCCCCTAAACCAGATCTGGTTAACCCTTTGAATGGTTTATTTTGACAGCTCTTGTCAACAGTCATTACCTTATGGAAATGCGAAGTGATAGCGATGAGATCATCAGTTAGAAGGCTTACTTTCAAACCCGGGGGGGACTCGACATATGAAAGGGGTTGGGAGGCTCGTCGGAAATTTCGAATTAAACCCCTAAAGGAGACCGATCTGGGCGTGGCCCAAGCTATTTTTGATCCCTAAAAGAGACCATGTTGAAACACAGACAAACGAGAAAACTTGGATGATATGAATGGAATAAATAAAACGAATTAAAAATATACATATCAAATATATATTTTTATTTTTTTTCGCGTGCTACCCTAAACGAGACCTTCACGGCTAAATATGATGGCGTTTTGCCCAGAACACCCTAAATGAGACCAAAATCCCAAATTTACACCCCTAAGCGAGACGACGAGCATCCCCACCACTTTCATATGCAGAGTCCCTCCCCCCGGCTTTCAAAAATTACTTCGTCCGCTCTCTTGGCCGCTTTTTGCCGCTCTGCACGCTGATTCAACTGTCTATTTTAGGTGATAAAAATTATTGCAAATTTTACAGCAAGCAATATCTACTGCCCGTAGTTAGCCTGCACGTAGTTAGCCCGCTCTCGAGGTTGATATATATAGCAAGTCTAGCTAGCTCCCATGAGAGCGAAGTTAAGTGATTCATAAAGAGACAAAATAGATCTTTAATAGCGGAGCTCTGGCGCGCAAAGCGCGCCTGCGGAACACCATGGGTAAGTAAATCTACCCATCCGAGAAAATTTGGTAATCACGTGACCGTACACCGTCCGCAGCCCGCCCGCCCGTCCGTCCGCACCACAGGACAACCAATGTTCAATCTCACACTTTGTAGCTAGTTTGGTAGCACAGGAAGACTGATATTGCACACATATTGTACATCAATGTTGTGATCAATTGACAGCTGTCAAAACAGGGTATCCGCTGACCAGTGTGTCCGTATGATGTCGACTCATCGAGGTCGAGTATCTTTTTGAAGTTATCCGCTGACAAGTTACTAGTTTTCAAATGATCGCAGGCTCAAGTTTAATTTTTGTTTAATTCATATGAAATATGTTGTGTTTTACATGTGTCGCACTATTAAAATTTTGATTTCAAACTGACCTCGGAAGCTAAAATTCAGCCAGTTTTTACAGACAGGGAAGACATGCCAGTTGCTTTTGACTTTTCTCACCAAGGTCACGCGTTGGTCACGCTCTACGTCCAATTTTTATGCTCTGATTGGTCAAAATTTTACAGGTGAGTTCATGCGGAAAATTTATGCAGCATCTTGAATCTTGTTTACTTTGACAGCTGAAGCTGACAGAGTTTTGTGTCAACTTGTGATGTTTTTAACTGTGTTTTTCCGCTGAATGTACAAAATGAAATTCTGCTGCTATCAAGAGTCTTCTGTTATTCATAGCTAGTTTATTTATTGGGTTTTTGGTTGAGAAATACGTCGCTTGTCAAAGTTGGAAATCCGATTTCGGGTGGCATCGTTTTCGTTTTTCACCTTGCTTGATGCGTAAGAGGGTTGAAAAGTCTGAAGCGATTCTGGCCTTACTTGATAGTTTTCAGAGCATCTCGAATGGTAAGCCTGAGTAATTATTGTATTTGATGTTTGTTTTTTATATCTAATTTAATGAAGTCGGGCGTAGTTTATGCGGCTATTTAGTTTATGCACGTTTGTAAGATTTGAGGCAATGATCGATCTGACCGAGCATCAGGTTTGATTATAAGCTTATAGAACTTTAAAAAGCCTTAGGACATTTTCTCACTGCAAATAGAAAGAAAACTTTCCAAAGAATATTTAGTTATAATTCTGGCTGTAAAAGAAAGCTTTGAGCGATTTTCTTGCCTCAAGTTCATCTTTGAAAAAACCAAACGCCGGGAAGCCGGCTTAAAACATAAACAAGGATTTTCAGAGACACTTTTTACCTGTCTTCGTGAATGAAAATTGTTGTCTCTGTATATGTTCACCGAATTATTATCCTTTTATTGATTATTAGTAGTCTCTTTTGCAATTTTAATCGCTGTGCCGTTTGTTTTCAGTCGCTCACGAACATCGCTTACAGGAGTGGTCAAAATGCCGCGTGTATCAAACGCTTTTGAAGATTACACATAGTTATAAAACCGTTAAGTAAAGAAATAAACATAATAAATTTTTTATCGTGTTAAAGCGTATAACTCTGTTAATCTTGATTTAAACAGTTGACTTTGGCGCTTGTCAAAAGTGAGAACCGGCAAGCCGTATAGGTGATTTTAGAAATTTTTTTAACGGTTTCGGTAAAAGCCCACGCGTGCGTCAATCGACCTGAATGTTGAATGAGTACAATTTGTATTGCAAAATTGTGATCTTTCCGAGGTCTGTATGATAAAAACAGTGCCTCATGGTACTGTTTCACCTCAGATGATGTATAAAAAGTATAAAAGGTTGGTTTGCACGTCCCCAGACTTGTTAGCAAGATTTTGTAAAATAAATCGTAAACTTGTCGAACGCAAAAAATTGGGCCTGATTTGTTTTCCGAGAATTTGTTTTCCAGGCCTAATCTACTGTGATCAAGAGCCATTATGGCTCTTGAATGTGATCGAAGATGATTGCTATTTTTCGCCCCATGTAAGGGAATCCGGATTCCGGAATCCAGGAATTTTCTGCTTGTGGAATCCGGAATCCTGGGCTTTGGAACCCGGAATCCAGGACTAGGGATCCGGAATCCTACTAAAGATTGGAATCCAGAATCCAACTTACTAAAGATCCATTCCTGATTGGATTGAGCAACTCGCTCGAAAGAAAAACCATCTATGGAAAGCCTCCCCAGGGTCTATGCCTCAACGTGATGACATACAGTGTAATATCGGCATATCTGGTGTCAAAACCATAGTTGACGAGCTCCATATGAAAGGTCACGGTAAGCGGGTGAACTCTTGCTTCAACCTCGTCGCCAGGGCTTTTCCCTTAAAAAATGGGTGGGGCCGGAAAAGGCCCTGGCATCGGCTGGTCACGTGCACAGCCTAAATATTCTTGAGAAGCTAATTTATATGCAACCCGCTGGTTTTGCGCTGACAGAAGTCGAACGGAGCAACAATGGAAAATAATAATATCGCAAACCAGTCTGATCGCGAACTGTATGTCAATATTTTCGCGTCTGTGCGATTCAAAAGCTTAAGATCCATTTAATTGCGTATTATTCAAATGCTACAAGTTTACGAAAGGGCGTGCCGGCTCTACGTTGTCACGTACAAAATATGTCAAATGCTTCAGAGTTGAGACAAGCTGTTATCGAGTAGTGCTTCGACTGAAATTCATCGTTATTGTGGAATTACTGTACGATCAAGCAGAAAGTGATTTTGTCCAATGTCAAACAAAAATGCGGGCCTTTGCCTCTAGGATCTGCAGTGAATTTAAACAAATTGAACTTAATTGAAATAGAATTGTTCATCAAAATGCTTTATGGAGTTTGGTCTTCTCTACAACCCGACCATGAAACGAACAAATCTCCGCGCCGGATGCAAGTCACCCCTCCAGCCAGGAGCGATGACAGGTCGCCGATCTGAAGCATTTTAAGATCTCTTATATCTTTTCTCTTCCGAGGATAAGTACAAAGGATTTTCCTTATATCAAAGGGAAGATTGACTGATCGATTGGAATCAACTACAGCTCTGTAAATTTTAAATGGACCCAAGTCTTTCTTTGTTACCAGTCGTTTGATACCCCTGGGTGCCAGAAACTTTTCATGCGCGGTTTCCGGTTTCGGTCAAGTCTCGCAGAGGTCAATGAATTTTTTAAAAATACAGGTCATACTAGATAAGTCTAAACCAACGCGTGTCGCTATGATGTGGCTGAGAGTCAAGGTGAATAGAACTAGGTTGTGTACGGCGGTCCACTTCGCAAGAAAGAAAAAAAATATCAAAAGAGTCGCGAAAACGGACTTTTCCATACCAGTACAAACTTTATGCATGTACGATAGCTTGTTTGTCATTTATATCGCTCTATAAAGGAAGTTTTACAAATGTTACCGCTCGCTGTCTCCTTCATAAAAATCGGAGGAAAGCAAAAAATCACCATAGCCAGTATCTGTGACAAAAAAGAAATCTTGTAAAACTTTTCGTTACTCGTCAAGAGATATAAAAGCCCGCCCAAGATCGCGCGCTGTGAGGTTACGCATAATTTTAGCTTTTCACATAGCGCTAACAGTATTACACCCAGGATTTTAGGGTGTACGAGGGGACACGTGACCAGCCGATGCCAGGGCCTTTTCCCGCCCCACCCATTTTTTAAGGGAAAAGCCCTTGCTTATGAGCGGCTGGCAGGATCACAAAATTTGGGGGTTTTCGAGGGAATACAGCGCAGCCTTTTTAAGGTATAAAACAACTGGATTGTTGTGAATAACTTCAACCTCTGGCTATGTTTGATTCCCTGTTGTTCACTCGGTTCGCTGAACTTAAAAAATCAAAAGCGATTTGACCTGGAATAGCACCGGAAAAGGTGCACCTGGGGTGAACCTTTTCCTTTTCCTCTCCTGGTCCTCCTGGTTCTCAATTGAAAATAAACGTCCACTTTCAACATTTTACCAAAAAAGAAAAAAAGAAATTCACAATCTCCTAGTCCCTAATTTGGTCCTAGTAGTTTCGGTAAGAACAGTTTCATGGTTTCGATAATCTTTATTTGAGAAATAAGCTAGGTACTGTCAGAACCGTACCAATCAGCTGTCACTAAAGTAATCACGTGCAAGGCCGCGGTGGGTGCCTTTTTCATTCATCCGCGACATTCGAGTGAAATCTCGCCACCTCATCGATGAGACGAGCCTTTTGAAGTTTGTTGTCTGTTGAATTTTTCTTTTCTACCTTATTAAAAAAGAAAAAAAACGTTATGGGAAAGCACAAGCAAAAACAAAAGGCTGATAGAGAAAGGTACGTATAAACATTCGTCCTATGGTCAATTACTATCTAGGGCTGGGCTATCGACTCTACACAACCGGCGACTACAGGACATAGCTATTCTCATGTATAAAGTTAAAAACAACATGTGCCCAACCTGCATTAGCACTCTCTTTGAACAGCCTGCAATTAAGTATGAACTGCGCAATCATGACTTCACTATACCCAGATTCAACACAGCCTCCTTTGGAAAGCACTCGCTCAGGTATATGGGCCCAAGGGTATGGAGCTCTGTTCCTAGTAACGTGAAAAAAGCTTCCACGTTGTCCTCCTTCAAATATAACATCAGAAAAGTGGATCTTAGCATGCTATTAGATGACAATAACTGCTCTAACTGCTCTCTTTGCACTTCTTAATCTTTTATTTCTTATTTTTTATAAGATAATGGATACATTTGTACATATTGTATATAGTTCCCTCGAATTTCTCACTTGCTTATACTGTACATAGTTTTTCTTAATTTTAATTAATTTATTAATTGATTTATTTTTTAAAAATTTATTTTAGTGTCCCCACTTAGTGGTTATACACCGCTATTACAGTTTTGACACTTTAATAAAGGTATCATCATCATCACCATCGTAATACTGTGTTGAGAAATTTTATACCAGTTTTTAGCTGACTGATAGATCTAAACGTGCCAAAGGCAAAGCTGCATGATTTTTCGTTTGTGTCGATCTGTGGACTGTAACGTGGCGGTAAGCAAGTCACAAACATGAACGAAAAATTGTTTTTTTCCTCAATCATAGTTGAATGTGATATGAAGTTTACGTCGTCCGTGGAGAAAATATCGTATAAATGAGCGCTATATGGTTGTAAAACGCTTAAAACTAGCCAACGCGTAAGAAACACTCAAGTCTCTCTTCATCTCTCAGTCATCTTAGTCTCGGTCGAGGAACAGACGGATTTTTCATGTTTTCTTTCTACAGTTGTGCTCCTGAATAGGCCTCGTTCACATTGAGGTCGCTTTTGGAAATTAGACCGATCTGAGATCGGTTTATTCCGTAAGTTTTTTTTGTTAGAAATGGATCCTAGAGACCCCAGACCATCTCAGAGACCCAGATCTCTTATTGACGAAGCCGAAGGTCAAATCCAATTATTGCCTGTCGGGAATGTGACAGGCGATGAAAGAGCGCATGCTCGAAATAAATCCTCAATTTTCGACAACGAATTTGATAGAGCCGTGAAGTCTTTTTTCTAACAAAACGTGGTTATACGTACATCCTAAGTATGAACCAACTATTTTTTTGTTGTATATGTTCTTTTTAACATCAAATTCAACCGCGACAGTTAGTTTGAATTTCATTATCATTGAGCGCGCTGAAACCTCAAAGCAGTACGCGTCAACTTATACGCGAGAATTTTTTACCCTCTTCAAAAGTCTTTATTGACACGGAGAGAGACTTTTAAAAAGTCTTAAAGGATAAGATAAAAATGGTTTTCCAAGATTTATTGAGACGGAAAACTACTCTTTAGAGAACGGAACCAAAGACTTTAATTTGCAAAGAATGAATGGCACACGCCACAGCGTATTTTTATTTGGCCAGTTACTAATAAAACGAGAAACCAGGCAAAAAGAGACAAAACGACCTAAACGATGCACAACGATCAAAAATAATCGACAAAAGATCCACAACGACCCAAAACAAGCCAAAACAAGTTCCACCCTCCTAGGAACGTCGGCTAAAATTGATTAAATGATTAATATTTCACTACGTTTTCATACCCGGAGCGTAGGATGATCTGTATGGTCTTTTTATGCAAAAAGGGGTTCCTAGGGGTTCGTCACGGCAACGCGTGACGAACCCCTAAGAACGTCTGCGTAGGAGGCTAGTAATTTTGTAAATCGAAAAAGAAAACAAACTTGTTATGCCTTCTAATGACGCCTTTCAATATGGCAAGATTCGAACACGTAAACAACGTGCGAAGAAAAGAATTAAAACCGGAAAAAAATGGAGTCCACCTCTTTTTGGAATCTGGAATCCACTGTGCTGGAATCCGGAATCCAGTACCCGGGATCCGGAATCCACAGCATCGAATCCAGAATCCAAGACTGTCCTGGATTCCCTTACATGGGGCGATATTTTTTGGGTGTACATATAAGGCTATCAACTCGATGTAAGATTAAGTTCACTCTTAGCTTGGACTGTTTGCAAATTATTTTTCTCTAAAATCACTTAGCCTTTCCCTCAATTAAAAGTCACTTGAATGTGCTCTAAAGTTAACTGATTTGTAAAATACAATTGCAAGTTTATTGTTTGATTTAAATGATAAATTCGAGTTAACAGGAGCTTCGCTTTTAGCCCTGGCTAAATCTATATATTATTATCTACATTCACGGGACACCTCGAAATGAGGAGGGAATGAAGCAATTAACCTGCGATCAAGCGTTCTTCCGTGTTTTTTCCTTTGAAAGACTGAAACAAGCTAAATTCAACTAAAAGAAGTAACTGAAGAAGAAATAAGACTGGAGTAGGTCGCTGATAAGCTGGTTTGTTTGTTTTTTTGTTTTTTATCTTACTGGTAATTACAGGAGCCCAGAGGCTCCTGGTAATAGCTCGTTATAGCCAACGTTCGATAAAGGAACTTCTTACATGAATCCGAGGCTTTCTGGTTACATTTCTGTATTAGGGTTGGTTTTCTATGTGCTCAAGTCTCTTTTGGGAATTACGAGACAACTGAGTCGTGAAAAATTTGCAATTTTTGTCCTTATGTTAGATATCGAACGCAGCTACTAGTGCCAGTCCCTCCTGAGTGCTGAATTTTCAAGATGGTGTCGCTTTGTTATTTTCTAGTTTCATCCTATCGTTCAGCACTTTTTGCCCTTTGAAAATGTAACCTAGGCAGTATTTCGAGCTTTTTGATATGATCTCCAGCTGCTGAACATACTTTACAGCGAAATATGAAGGAAAATTTACGAAGAGGACTAAAAACAAACACGAAGGGATCGGCCTGTTTACAAGAAAAAGCTTGAAAATTATAACAAATGTGAGTTTTCTAATTTCTTCCTGTTTCAATGGCCCAAAATGATTATTAGTGTTTTGGTTACATGGATGATAGTAGACTGCAATTTGGCTGTCAGAGTTGTTCTGTCGTTTTAGTTGTGCGCTGTAGATCAATTCAAAAATGCCCGATTTTTTGCTCGTTTGCAGACACTGAGTTTAGGTCAGATAAAATAAGAAAATTTTAGTCTTGTCCGTGGATACTTAACAAATCTTATGGTTTTAGAAAGTAGTTCTGTGATGTGTTGTATCGCATACAAAAAATAAACTTCGCTTGTTAAATTTGGAGGCCTCTGTGAGTTTCAGAAAATGGTGAAAATTTGCTTATAAAAATGGCGTCCGAGGGGGTCGAAAAAAGTGATGCTCGTATTTCTAATACAAGAGCAGTGAAGAACCTATGTTTGGTATATTTGTCCATTACTCCACCAGACCTATCTATGATGTTAGTATGAACTTATTCTGTTGAACCCCTTCCGTTGACATTTTTAACATTTTGCTCGGTTTTCTCTGACAACCACTCTTAATATATCGCGCTCCTCGAAAGTGCGAAAATTTTCTTGTCGTGTATTAGATTTCAGATACATTTTCTTAAAATCTTCATTTCGCGCCAGAATAAATTAGTTTGCGCGCAAAGGGCTCCTAAAAAAATCACAAGGTTTGTCCCACTTCGAGTCCACCTTCTGGAGATACGCCGGCTTGGTAGCTGGAATACATTGCCGAGGCGAAGATCTGGCATTTTTTCCTCCTCGTCGTATTTTCTTCACGATAAATGTTTATATTTGTAGTGAGAATGCAGCGCATATCGGTGGGTTTTACTTCATGCGGCCTGCTACTTCTGAAAGAAGAGTGCCGGATTTCATCGTTTTGTTCATGTTTATTAGTGTTGGCAAATGTAAGGTAAATGAACCGACCACTGTAAGGTAAGAATTGAAGTTTTAAATTTGTTACCCGGCGAAAAATCGTGGAATTGGAATTCGTGAAACTCGTGAGTATTACCTCTGTTACCTAATGTTATGCGATGACTCCTCGCTTTTTCGATGCGTAACACGGATACAAGCGATAAATTTCTTTCGCAAAGTGAAGTATAATTTACTTAACGAGACCATTTGACGAATATTCCTCGTTATATGTTTTATTCATATTTGCTTGGCTTATTTAGGCTACGTGCCACGAGTTTGATAGCAATGTTTGTGTGCTATAATTATGCTGATAAGTTTTTGCACCTTTATATTGAAACTCATGAAAGCCAAACGTTTGTTAACTCTAGCAAAACACTCTTCTATTATGGAGGAACTTTTAACGTCTTTCGGAGTCCTAATATGGTGTCAAATTTTTAGGGGAAACAAAGCGTGATTTTTGGCCAAACAGACTATAGCTTTTTTGTCTTTGAAGAGAGCGCGAGGTTAACGTCCGTGAGTACAGTGTAAGCCAGTGATTCTTTAGGTAGAGCTAACAAACATAGGCTGCACTTTAGGTGGCACACCCATGGGTGCAGTGTAACCCAGTGATTCTTTAGGCAGAGCTAACAAACATAGGCTGCACTTTAGGTGGCACACCCATGGGTGCAGTGTAATCTGTGTACAAACATAGACTATACAGGTGCACATCAGATGGTAACAAGTTTTCCAGTTAAAACTTTGTCATAAAGTGCTACACCATGGCACTTCGACTATTTCATTATCGCGCGGTTGATACATTGTTTTTACGCACAATTGATAGTCAGGAGAAGTCGTGTTGTCTAAAACCATAGCAAAAGACAAATTTACACACATCACAGCGTTAAGGTAAGGTAATACACAGTATTTCCTTCAGATACATTTACATTTTCTGTTAGGTTATAAGCTATTAAATCGCATGCAGCGACGAACAAAACGCGAAGCCGTCAGATACTCTAGAACCGTGTTATTTACAGTGCTGTGCATGATTATTGCTTAACTAACTAACTACGCGCTGATGGAAATAAGTTTCGGCCGCTTTAAATTTTGAAACAATTCACTGGTACTGTATAGTCAAAATGTTGGAGCGGAAAGTTAGCACGCGAGCAGGGCGATTCTGCTGTGGTTTCTGTAATGTAGAAGATATTACGGCAATGAGGCTCCCGAGGTCCGTTCCCGAAATCACAACATGTAGGATGAAATGTATTCTGCGTGCAGACGTCTCCTTTTCCAGGTTAGGTTAAATAAACCGTACCAACGGTTTGTTTGACAAAGCTCCAGCGGGACGGTTTCTTGGTGATTTTATTAATTTTTCCGATCCATTTTTTTTTTCATCTCTATTTTCGCGGCTTTTGCGAAACAAACTAAATTCATTTTTAGTTGTGATGGCATTACACTGCTTAATCATGACGGCTTTGGAAGAAACTGAATATATTGCGCTTCGCGATTTCGCAAAATCGCTGCGGGAATTGAAAAATATTTTCTTCCAAAACAACGTTTTCACCCTTCTTTCTCTAGTCAATTATCTCGTTTGTCTCGTTTTCTAAAGGTCCTTTAGAACACAATAAGACAATATTTTATTACCTACAACCGAAAAACCTGATTTTTGACCAGATCGAAACAAAACTGTCGTCTGAAATGGAAGAAGAAAAGCCTTTTATTTTTGCCGGCTTCGGCCTGCCGACGCGATCGTGTCTGTTTTGCTTTCAGATGATGACATTTTTCTGACAGAAGGGTGTCGGGAGAAACACCTCGCGCTGATCATACGTGACAAAATCCGCCGCGCCTAAGCTAATTAAGAAAAGTCTCCTCGAAAGCTCCATAGAATTCCTTATAACAAAATTATAAGGAATTGTATGGAGCTCTCCGGGATACTTACGGTGCAAGCCCTGTGTGTCTTCTCATGATGGTGAGTTGCCCAATTTGAAAACTGTGGAATTTTCTGAAACAGAACGCGTGGATGACCAAGGCCCTGCTCCACAGCAACTGGATGCCGGGGAAACGGATGGTACCGATGACGTGACTGGAATTATTCTTCCTGAGCAAGGAGTGAATGTACAAGCACAAGTTGAAGCGGCCATAAAAGAAGTTGTTTCAGAACCTAGGGAAGGCGAAGCGGAAGATGCAATACGAGATGTGCAACGACCAGTAATCCCATGACCGACTACGGATATAAGACCAGCGTCTGAATTTACTACGCCTTATTTTTTCACCATGGCGTTTCCTTGCTTGTTTCCATATGGGAAGGGTGATTTCCACATAAACCGTCCAGTAACATGTCCTTCACTCCACGACTGGGCGGAGTACTTACCGTGGTATTAAGATGGATAATTTGTTAGACATAAAGTATGGAAGTTTGTTGTTCACAACAAGATCTTGAGGAAGCGTGCGCTGGAGCAGAGCAGGTTCTTTGTTGATCAGCAGCTAGGTGACCCACAAATAACTGTTGCAGACCTGCAGGAGCGACTAGCGAGGGGTGATACTTCATTTGCGGACAAATTGTTGTATTTTGGTGCAAATCTGCGTGGTATGGCTCAGTACTGGCATCAGAGACGCAAAGAGCTTCGTGCTTTGGTTGAGTTCATGGTCAATGAGAAGGGTCGGCTGCCTTCGTTTTTTTATGACTGGAAGCTGTGCAGAGTTCCATTTTCCCCCACTAAGGAGACTATTGGAACAGTACATCTTGCAGTCAACGGGGGAAGAAGTCAACCTTGCCGAAGACAGCAATGCCCGTTTCAAGGCTGTTCAAGAGAACACTCATGTGGTAGTCAGCTACTTTGACCTACATAACCAGGCATGGCATGAGAAGGTACTGAAACCAGTGTTTGGTGTCTCGGATTACTGGTACCGTTATGAGTTTGCCAAGTCCAGGAGTCAAATTCACTGGCATCAACAGAGCTGGAGAGATGACAGGCAACCACACCAGCTGTTGCATGAAGCTCGTGAGGACAATTGTAGCGAAACAGAGTACGCAGCTAGACTTAGCCAGTGGGCGGATGAAAACTTTGCCATGACAGCACTACACCCAGCTGGTAATAATGAAGAGGGACAGCCGAGAAACGACCTTTGGCCACCACCTGAGGGTACTGCTGACCCCATATCAACTGATAGGGATCCTCTGGTGGAGATGCTTATGGAAACAGCTGCATCACAAGATGCAATACTGGAGGATCATTTGCTTTTATGGAACCGAGTTGGGCTGCACAGTTTTTGTGATTACTACTTGAGGACTCTTCGTCATCCTGAGCCAGGATTGCAGCCAAGAGAACGTGTATGTAGGATGGAGTTTGGGAGTGAGTTTCGCCAGGGAAAGAAACTGCACAGTGTCCCAGAAATTGTGGAAGATCATAATGGAGCTCCTCTCCTTGAGATGCCTCGTGATCATCCACGTGTGGTTCAACATTCTCGTTATCAAATGTAGTCTTGGAGAGCAAACGGTGATGTGAGCTTGATTCTTTCCAACTCTCCCCCAGACAATCCTAGCACAGATGATATAATAGCCATAATTGACTACGTGTGTGGATATGCTTGCAAGGATAGCGAACCCACTGGTGCAACTGCTGATCTCTTTAGGGATATGGTGAATGCTGTTGATGCAGCTGATGTAGACCAAGTGACAGGCAAGTCAATGTGTGTTAAGATGCTGATAAAGACCGTAGGAAGGCGAGATATCAGTTGACCAGAGGCATCCTTTGAGCTGAGTGGGCTAGCACTTTGGCGAGGTAGCCGTCTATTGACCTACTTGTCAATGTCGGGGTCAAGGAGATTAGAACGTGATGGTGAAACTGCAACTCGCAGCACCCCATTTGATAAGTACCCTGCTCGACCACAAGATGAGCACTGTTCCTGGTACCGTTTTGCATCCAAGAATGGTAATGTGCCTGTTGTAAGTGGTCGTTCTACACACGCAACCTGGCCACCGAATGAAGACTACTGTAGGACTATGCTTCTGTTACACTGGCCAAGCTGGTTTGACATCCAAGAAGTGAAGCGGGACGCTGAATCTTGGATTGATCGCTTTAAGGACTTTTTTGCTAGTGATGACTGTCCAACTTTTGTGAAAGCCCAAGTTGCTAAAGCAAGGCGTTATGCAGATCACCCACAAGAACCTGTATTTGAAGAGGTTGAGGAAGATGATGCTTTTGAAGCAGAAGATCAGCCAGACTGGGTGGATGTACATGCAGGACAGAACCAAATATATGAGGGTGTAGAGCGGGACTTTGATTATGATGATGGCGGGGAGGATTATGACTGGAGCGGTACCCGTATTATTCTTCCTGAAGGAAAAGACCCAACAAAGTGGCTTCAAAAAAGCATTAAAGCGGATAACGAACAGGAGAGTGGAAGTACGGATCTTGATTTACCTCAGGTGAGTCCATTATCTTTAAATGAGAATCAGAAAGCTATAGTGAGTCTAGTGTTGCACACCCTGTACAACTTTGTTGAAAACACTGAATATTACCATCCACTGCGACTTGTTGTATCCGGAACTGCTGGAACAGTCGTATGTCATCAAGTGTCTCCAGAAGTTAGTGCGGCAAGTGTTTGGAGCCAATAATGCAATACAGGTGATAACTCCGACAGGGAATGCTACCTATCTCGTTCAAGGCAGTACAGCTCACAGCTTTCTAGGAGTACCAAATGGGGGAAAGTCTTGCAATGAGTTGACTGTACCCTCAGGTACCTTATACTAGAGAAAATTCAGAAAAATTGCGAAAATCTGAAAGTTTTGGTTGGTGATGAACGATAAATGTTTGGACGCACAACAATGGGCTGGATGGAACAGCATGCACGTTATGCGATCAACAGAGGAGCCAATGCAGATGAGTTGTGGGGAGGGATTCCTGTGGCAGTGTTTATGGGAGAAGATGTTCAGCTTCCTCCTGCGTGTGACATCCCCGTGTACATTTCAGATTGTCGCAGTGCACCATCCAACTATGGTCGTTTGGTTTGGACAATGTTTGATAGTGCTGTTGAGCTTACTCAGATTATACGGGAGAATGAATCTGAACAACAGCTAAGAGATGTGTTGATGTCACTAAGAAACTATGCGACAATACTCGAGCAAATCCACTGGCTACAACAGTTTCAGTGGCACAATCTCCGCATGTCGTATGGCCCAGAATTCCTTGCTAGGATGGACGAGCAAGGTCTGTATATATTTCTCACGCACAGTCTTGAATGGCAGCGTAATAAAACAATGTGCTGGAGTATAACAGACAGCCAAACCACCCAGTAGCAAAGATCAAGGCAGTTAACAATGGCAGACATGCAATGAAGACTGACAGTAATAAGGCGGGAGGATTGTTGTCTCTACTGTATCTTTGCCGTGACAGCAAAGTCATGCTGGTAGTTAACTTAAAGGCTGACTGGGGTTTGTACAATGGGGCAGTAGGCACAGTCCTAAATATTGTGTACAAAGATGGCCGCAGACCCACTGATGATCCTGCTCCTCTACCTGATGTGGTTCTGGTGAGGTTTTGCAGGATATAGGGGGCCACCGCACATGAATGGAGATCCGACAGTTGTGCCAATTGTACCGGTAAGTCGTTCTACTGAATGGGCATGTCGATGCAACCGTCTGCAGGTTCCATTGCGACCGGCATGGGGAACACCAATCCACAAGTGCCAAGGGATGACTGTGGGTGCCGAAGAAGCAAATAGGTATGTGGTGGTTCACCCTGGAAATCATGGCTTTGAAGCTAGAAATCCAGGAGCTCTATTTGTGTCATTGTCGCGAGCAAAATCAGCCGGTGGGGAAGGAAGAGATCCTGATTTTGCTTTTCGTGAGGATGTACTCATAAACAATGACAGATTCAGACCTGTGGACACTCCAACTACACGAGCTAGAGAAATGGAGATTGAGAGACTGCATGTCTTACAACTCAGTGTCGGCAAAGAAGGATTTTAGCACCAGCATATAGGGAGGAAACCTTTCTCGGACTGGTAGAGTGGGCTCAATCACCAAGTCATCATTGAGACATTGCTGAATTAGTTGGATCATGGGTCTGATCTATCTGTTTTTCAAATACTCCATCTGGCTAACTCATAATTCGCCTGACAATAGCCAATGATGTGGTGATGTTTCATTTCAAATGAAGGGCTGAGGCTTGTTATGCTGTAATCGGTCTAGGTGACTGAGGACCTTAGTGGTCATGCATAAACAATAAAAGGGCCGTTATGCTGTAATCGGTCTAGGTGACTGAAGACTTTAGCGGTCATGCATTACAAATGAATGGAATGTTATGCTGTAATCGGTCTAGGTGACCAAGGACCTTACTGGTTATGCATAACGGATGAAAGGACTGTTATGCTGTAATCGGTCTAGGTGACTGAGGACCTTAGTGGTCATGCATAACAAGTGAAACATCATTATATCTTGTGGTCATGCACAACTAATAGCGTTGTTACTCTGTTTTCAGCCCGTATGACAGAAAAGATGAAGTAGTTATTTTGGTGTGGCCTTCTCTATTTAAAGAGCTAACTTAAACTGAATGGACTACGTGTTTGTCAGGCTGTACCATGGTAACGGTATTAACAAACAGCCCAGTTGAAGAACAGCCAAGGAGTTTTAAAAGGTACTGCTGTCATATTTTGTTCTAAGCCCGGCGACACGAGTGAAGATACCCCAGCTTTTTTGAGCGGCTAATACAGGGCGAGATCTTGTAAAGATCTTTAAAAATGCCTAGGGGGACCGGGAACCCTCTTGTTTGTCCAGCAGCCTGTCTTCTTTAAGAGTAGGATGACAAGACAAATAAATATAGTAAGTAAGATATGGGGACATTTGAGAACAACTAAACTGAATGAACTACAACAGTTTAGAAATCTGCAAGAACCTGCACTTTCCCAAATTAGTGAATATGGGAATCAGCTAGAATAAAGGCGTTTAGGTTGTTTTTACGTGGTAGCTAATGCCAAAATTTTTATTTACTTGAATCCAGTCTATTTCTTTTTCTCTCCAACAACAATTATATATTAAGAAACATTGTTATTATAGCTGGAAATTTCTTCCCAACCATGTGCACACTCATTGGTTATTTCAATGTCACCTGACATCTGACAATGAAACTGTTTGGTGCCAAAATCTCTAAGCAGGCAACATCGCAAAAATCATTCACATCAGAGGGTAACAGTGCACTATTACCCGCGAATGACCAACA